AAGTTCTAATCTATACTTTAATAAAGCGGAAGAGTTTTTTTTGTTTTTTTGTTTGTTTAAACGCGATAATCTCTGGCACTACCAGTCCGATTTGGAAAATTCTTTTTGTATATTATAGCCAGATTCATGTGAAATAGTATAGGCTATCTAGCATTAAGCTATATTACTCAGCTAGCCCTAAATTTGGATATTTGTTAAGCAAGTCAGAAGAAAAAGCACTCCCTAAATGATTTATCCGCGTACGCTGGTGTCATCGTTAGGCATACGTAAATACAATATTCTAGAAAAATATAGACCGTTAGTCCCTCTAAAAAAAAGTCCGCGATACCATATGTCTATTTCTTATACATAAGCCATAATTAGATATTTTGTGACAAAAAATATTGAAAATTTAAAAGTGATTTATGAGCGTTATTATTAGGCATGGCCTATTTATCCTTACGAACGAAAGTTACTTCATCATCAAGACAATTTTATGAAGATAAACTTTGTTCTTTATACTATATTATTTGGACGCATAGTTTAAGAGATAATGTCAAATTAAAATAATTCAATACTTGTCTGGGCGCGCGAACGACGTTTAAACCCTAGCCGTTATAAAATGCTTGAACTAGGTCATGTCGCGCACCTCGGACACGTGATGACGCGGGTGAAACTGCGGGGCACAGCTAGTGTTCACATAAAACTATTATTTAAAAAATCAGCACGCGCTTTTATTTACGCAAAATGATAAACACTTTAAGTTAGACTTTGCCATGTTAAAATAAAGTTTAATTTAAAATAATAGCTTAAAGTTTTAAGTTATGAGAATAACTTCTTCGTTAGCTGTGCTGCGTTTGGATTCACTTCGATTGAGCGTTATTGTAAAAATTGTAGTCGTAGTGCAGTATATCGATACGATATGTTTTAATATGCGTAACCATTTTTGGTTACGTTTTGATATATCGGACTCATACTGACTACTCAATTCAGAAAAAAGAAAATTCAGATGACAGCATAGTTGTGGAGAGATACCAACCAAGCGCCCGGGCCAGTCGGGATCAAATCCAGTCAGAAAGAGAGGCTATGGTTGAGCGTGTGAGTCTCACACTACAGGCAGTCTCCGAATGGGGCGATGCGAATCTCGTGAGATTTAACGCCTCCAAAATACAAGCGTGTCTTTTTACCGCTAAAAGGAGCCGGTTCACCTTGGCTCCTACTTTCCGGAATGTATCCTTGGAGTACACTGACCGCCTTCAGTTGTTACGGATTGAATTTTCTCCGAACCTAAACTATGGGTAGTTCATTGAGTCCAGAGCCCTAGCAGCCGCAAGGAAACTTGGTGTCCTTGCAAGGGTGCGGCGGTACTTCATGCCGGGGCAGCTTCTTACCTTATATAAAGCGCAAGTCCGGTCGTGCATGGAGTACTGCTGTCACATATGGGCTGGTGCTGCAAAATGCTACCTGGAAGCATTGAACTCAGTGGAGAGACGTGCTAAGAGGCTCATTGGTGTCCTTGATTTGGTTGAAATCAATCTTGTCAGCCTCGAGCACAGGCGCAGAGTAGCCAGTCTCTCGGTATTCTATAGGATGCATTTCGGTGAGTGTGCGCAGGAACTACACGTTTTAATTGCTCCCTCTCCTTTCCACCATCGGACAACCAGGCGGTCGGCGGGTCTTCATCCCTTTGTTGTCGATATTTCACGCATTAGAACCAAACGAGTGGAATAATTTGCCGGCGTCTATCTTTCCGTCCGAATACAATCTGGACGTCTTCAAGGCAAGAGTGAATAGGCTTTTGTTACGATAAGACAGTGCGATTTACCATATAAGGCTACATCACCACTTACCACCAGGGGGGATTGTGGTCAAGCACTGGCTTATAAAAAGTAAAAAAAAATACCAGCGTAAAATAGCAGCATAATGCTGCTGTGTTTCGTATGGTGAGTGTAGAGAATCGAAGACCCGTTTTACTGGAAACGAGACATTCCATCTTAGTCCTCACGGGTGACAACACATCTGCAGTTTGAATCTTATTTGAGGATAAATTTTTGATGTCTTTGGGTCTCAGCTTCCACTTATCATCTACCATAAGGTGGATTGGGTGCTCGTTTGTCACCCATATTCTATAAATAAAAAGGAAACCATACAGCGTTTCTTACAAAAGTTATCAGAGAATTCATTTTACGAGTTACTCTTACCTAGTCACGATATTTATTAACCGTTTTGTTTATTATACTATTGAATACCAGCCGATAATTATATGTTCGGTTTGCAAAGAACGCGCATAATTTGGTATAGTAACTTTATTTTCACTATTCGCTTGTATTGTATTATTTAGGTACTTGCGACCCGCCCCAGCTTTGCCTGGGTAGAATCATTTGATGTGGCATTATTTAGATTTAACATAATCCACAACATTTATGTATTTTAATCAATTGTTCGTTGTTTTCTAAGTGTCTTAGTTAATAAAAACAGATGAGACTGTTAGTTAAGTTTCAACACAATCGGTTCCGCCATTCCGAAGATTAGCTCAAGCAAACAGACAGACAGACAGACAAAGAGACAGATAGACGAAAATTTTAAAATGGTTATTTTTTTTAATAGTAAACAAATGACTCCTTGTGTGCCAGTTATTTTAATATTACAGACAGACACTTCAGTTTATTTTTAAGTATTGCATAGCGTTTATTAAAGAACAATTAAAAAAAAGAAGATGACTAGTGGAGATGAAATATTTTATTCAGAAGTGATTTTGTTAAGTGGATAATGGGTGGGTTGGTCATCTCGGGCGGGGCAGACACGCCTCGCCAACATGGAATTCATTTTTCCTTTTTTTGTGGCTATATTATTTAACCTCTTAGCCATAAACAAAAAGGGTACATATTATGTGATGTTAATGCCCTAATGTTAACAATTTTATCACATTCATTTATTATCTATAAAAAAACAAAAGTAACATTTCTATATCTATTAAAAGATATAAAATCCAAATCTGTTGGCAAAATACTGTTCGAAATAAATGTTCACATATACTTACATAAATGTATATATGTACGTGTGCATTTCAACTGAAACCTAGAGTCAGTTAATAGTCAGATTATTTTTGTTCAGTTTCAGAAAGCGTTTCAAAAACTCCACTAAATTTCGGCTCTTAACTGTACTATTATTCTATCACATCATTATCACTGTAATAATAACAAATGTCTGTCCCATATATTGCCTCAAATATCCACCAAATATACCATAGTTCCCACGCTTTGCAACTACAGTTTTTTTATTACTTTGAGTTTTTATCAGGAAGATACGAGTACTGCTGGCCATCTTCTGTGTCAGTTTTCCTCTATCGCCGCTTACGACACTGACGGGATGACAAGGGGTAGTGGATTCTTACTTTACCATTACACTGTATTATGCGAGCCCTTAATTATTATAATATGTATTTTATGATCAATGTGTATGCACTAAAACGTAGTGATTAATCATTTTTTCAATTTTTATATTTTTTTAAAGGTGATAAACGAGCACACATTCCACCTGATGGTAAGTGGTTGCTGTGGCCTATAAACATCTAGATCTATCTTTGATTACGAATCAAAATGCAGATGCGTTGTCACCCGTGAGGACTAAGATGGAATGCCTCGTTTCCAGTAAAAAGGGTCTCCGGTTCTCTACACTCACCATACGAAACATAGCAGCGTTAAGCTGTTATTTTATGCTGGTATTCTGTGAGAGCGTGGTCCTTCCTCGGTCGAGCCGACCAATACGTGCTACAACCATAACATAGCTGCAGCATCGCTCCTTTCGTTTTTACAAGTATCATATTAATAATAAAAATGTAAATTGCTTCTACTGATGGTTTATGTTTGCTGCCTTTTTGGTCTAGTGGTCCTAAATGCGACAAGTAATCTTAAGGTCTCGGGTTGGAATACCGGGTCGGGTCAAAATCGGTTATTAAGTTTTTCTGACAAGAAATTTTCAGTAGAAGCACGGAATCAGGACATTGGCGGTGTTTCACCCCCGTGCCTCGGAAAGCTTGTAAAGCCATTGGTCCTGCGCTTGATCTCTCTCCGATCGTGTTGCTTTACTGTTCCATCGGACCATGCGAGTAAAGGAATAAAGAGTGCACCTTTGTTTGTGTATACACGTGGACACTATAATCCTGTCCTGCGCAAATAGCTAGTCTCCGTGGAGACTGGCCGCCGTGAACGAAATTGGGTCTGGAGGACATTTTACGTAGGTGTTTTATCACCAACACATTGAAATTATTTTGCATATTTAGAATATGTTTGTGATGCTTAGCCGACCATCACGCTTCACACACGCTTCATTCTCTCTGCAGAAAGGGCTTCGCATAGCATTTAAAATATAACGTCCTTATAACAGTAGACATCATTAACGTAGAGTTTTTTAAGTTTATCTTGACAATTCATTAATAACTTTACATATAATGGACTTCTCAATTTCAGACAACAAATCTTTGAAACAGTACGCTATAAATTTTTTTTTAACTCTTTATATAAGCCTCCCTACGTTAGTAAGCTTTCATTTATAAGTGATAGAGCCACGCTGCGGTTATGTTATGGCTGTAGCATGAAAGTTTTGTCTCGATCGGTGAAGGGCCTCATTCTTCCAGTATAAAACCGAAGTGATAAATGAACTTACAATCCACCTGGTGGTAAGTGACTACTGGTGCCCATGGACTCTTGCAGCCAACTATATAACAAAAACAGATACCTACAGATGCTTTGTCACCTCTGACGACTATGATGAAATGTCTCACAACCTGTAATCATCTTGACTCGCTATCCCCTTAAGGAGGATAGAGAGTCAGGATAAAGAAAAATAAGGAAACACAGCAGTGCAAGAACTGCTGTGTTTCCTTCTTTGACTCAAGGCTCAAAATTAAGTATGTTTGCGAATTTCATTTCAATAATTTGCACTGATTTGTCGGGAAAAAAGTTTCTTCGTATTTTATATACAAATTCAAGACAATGTTTTTTAAATTTAATTATATTTAATTATAATATATATGTGCCATTTTGTTCGATAACTTGTAGCCATCTTGTAGGTAGTGATATAATCCCGTTGCTGTAGAAATCTTGGGATTTTTGATTAAAAAAACGCCACAAGTAGTTTTGACAGTCCTCTCTTGATGTTAACCTAATTACCTAACACTACCCAAAGAATTCTGAAGAGACCGAAACAGGTGAAAATCTGAGGATACGAGGTCAGGACTAATGGTGGATGCATTAATACTTCCCAACCAAGCTCTTTCAATTTTTGCTGAGTGGCCAAAGATGTGTACCGTCTGGCGTTATAAAGTAAAGTGAAAGAGCACTCCTTTTGTGTTGATCAATTTCGGCCGTTTTTTCTCAATTTCCTGCTTGGATCGGTTTCAGTACGTTTCAATAGAGAATCACAAATGAGTACACGATTCATTAGGTTTCTTTCAGTGAGCTCGTGTGGTACAGAATAATCAAGCTTTTTTGTATAGCTAGTAGTTTGTTTGCAAATTGGTATAAACTGTTTTGTGGTCAATTCTCAATTCCTCGGCTATATCGTAACTACTAATATGCCGATCTTGCTCCATTTTTTCAAAAATGGCATCGACTTTATCCGTATGACCCGAAGGACCAGGTCTGACCAATCAGTGCGAGTGCGGGAATTTTGATTTCAGAGATGCATGAAATCAAAATTCCCGGAGTCAAAACGCTTTAACCAAATTTGTGCTACTCTTACTGACACTGATTTAGGTTCATAAACGTCGAAAAAATGTTTTGTGACATGGGTCTTATTTTCCCCTTTATTGTAATAAAATTTCAGAATGTACCGAGTTTCTTCGTTATATTCATTAATTTTGGTGGACAGAAAAATAATTGAAAAATGGCAGGAAAGTGTTTTTTACTTTTTCTTTTTTTTCTTAATGTCCTTTATGTATTGATATTAAAACCAGCGACATACAATCAGTACAACCAAAGAGATTTTTCTTCAATTTTATACAAACAAAATACGAAGAAACTTTTTCCTCGACCTATTATTAGTACCCTGTAAAGACTTCTCAAGGACATCTACGGTCATGAAAAGATTTTTCAGACCCTTGACGCTGCGCCTCATCGTCTCCATACATCTAGCGTAAACCGAATGGTATACCACATTCCGTCGCTAGTTGAAAGATCTTTTTAGCATTTTCTGTAGTCGTCTCTTGTGACCCACAGATGCCTACATTTTCAAGACTTTTAGTGTGATCCTTAATTACTAAATACACATACTAGATATAAAAATATATTTTTATGCATACAAATTACATCTTCTTAGATATTTAAGACATCAACCAAGAACAATAAATATTTATACTCGTAGATACAAGGTATTAACAGTTGGATGCTAGACCATTTACTTTACAAGTTTTTCTATATAGAGGTAATCTATGAGAAAATTAGGTTTTTTTTTAACGTTGAACAAAGCTCAGTCGCCCAGGTACTAATAAAATAAACTGTGGTTGACATCAAGCCTACCAAACGTGGCAACTATGCTAAATATAAATATTATGGGGCAACCTATGGGGTCCATGTTCAGCAGTGGACTTTTGAAAGGCTATAATGATGATGATGATAATAATTGCTATTTATAAAAAAAAGAAATATTGAAAAATCACGTTGATTCGAATATAAGTCGTGACAACAATTTAAGTGATGTACAATTTCGGATTTGAATATCAGTTAAAGCAAGTCCATGAAGTTAGTTGTCTCTCTTATCGTGTTATCATTGTGTTTAGACTATACATCATGTTTTTGGTGTTATGCTGTCACAATATGATTTATCACAAATATGTTTTATTTTATAGCAATATGTAATGACAATAATTTTTAAAAGCTTATCAATTTTTGTTTAAAAACATCGTAGATACAATGTGAGTTCCTTTATGTAAAAAGTATTGTTGATGGCATTCGTTATGGGTCCCTAAAGGCATGAAATTTGTGGATTCCAAAATAATTCATTATCCATGACAATCGACAATCAATCATCCAAAAGCTCGCAAAACAATAATCACATTATCATTCTCCCATAATAACAAATGTAGTCTCGAAATGCTTAAAGAACCCGCTTTGTAAAGTTTTATTTTTTGTGTTCAAAATAAATAATTTTTCAAGAAATATCGTATCGAAGCCGAGCCTCGTTCGGAATCGAACAATGTTAACTTATGAGCGAACGTATTATTTATTGAAAGCAAGAAAAAAATGAATACGAAGTGGTTTGACATATTGTTAAGGGTCCTTATAAAATTATTTGCTATCACGCCATCCGAGACTTCCAAGATTCTTGTTACGAAGAAGCCATTCAAAACGAAACAAGGCTGGTTGGTTTAACGTTTACAAAGCGTCCTGTACGAGTAATAAAACAATAAAAGTTATCGAAACATTTAGGCGGGTTAATTTTATGGACATAGAGAATGTTGTCTAAGGTCACGTACCTCGGCAATTATAACGTTCTCCTTAAAATTTCCATATAGAACCATTTGAGTGCTATTAATAATGCTTAGAATGAATATTTCGAATTCCCAAATGTCATCCAACTTATTAACCGCCATCATTTTTTGTCCAAGTTTTATTTGTTTTTGGATTGAGCGCTTTGGTTTTGGCGCGGTCATTTCGATCTTTCGTTTTTTGTCTCGCATCATGTCATCTCGGAAGATGAAATATTGTTTACAGATAATTAGTTATTTTATAATAAAGACTTTTCTTTGTAAATTGCTTAATTAATTATTGTCATAAATTAGTATAGGAAAAGGGTGTATGTGGATGTAGGTACAAACTTTATGTTCCAATAGCATGATAATCCGATAGATTTATTGGTTGCTAATTACGACCGATATATTTAGCGGTTGTTAATTATCATGCGGAATCTATTCGAATATACAGAACCCAAATCCTGGGGTTCAATATTAGCGTCAGGTTAGGTTAGCAGCACTGAGCCTTACTAAAGCCATGTAAGTTTCGAAATGCTATATCTAATAGTAAAGTTATTGATTTGAGAGGAATGTAAAATGTAAGAGCAACAGTTTTCTTTTAATTTCTAATTTATATGGTTTTAGTATTGTTAAAGATAATTATATTGAAATGAAAACGAAACTCATGTGCGTGCATTCTATGAGTGTCGTTAAGGAACTTGAAAACGGTTTATTAAAAATATGAATAAGTTTAAATAGTTTTGACACTGCTTTTTAAAAGTTGTTATATGTTATTTATATAATAATGTGATTAATTTTTCAAGAAGGAAAACTATTTAAATAATGCCTAATTCATCGATAAACAGTCCACAAAAATATTCTACTAAACGAATAAATTAAGATTCCAAAGAGAGTGATCGATAGATCCTTAGATCAGATCTATAGATCATATCGAATTCGAAAATAGAATGCATGAGTAAGACAAAATATAATTAATGATCAGCCTTCGAAATTTGAATCGGTTTGGTGCAGACATGTTGGCGTCGTCGCAATAAACAAAAGGCAAAAACTTTTGTTTCATATTTTGTGTTCTTTTTTATTTATGCATGTAAAACATTAGTAGATGCTCACGATTAATCATTCTTGGATGCATTGTTGCATCTGTTGAGACGTTTTGTAGAACTCGAGGGCTATTGTTCAAGTTGGACCTCTGTGCTTTCAGATAATTAATCTTAAAATACACCACCTGTGAACTGGAATAGATAACGGCTCAAACATTTCCTTAAAAATGGTTTTTTAAATCTTTACTCTAAAATGAGGGATCATAGCGTTCCCTTAATCGTTTAGAAGTGTCTGTAGTAGTTCTCCTAAGTACCTATGTAGATATCGTGTATTTACTAACTTACAAGTGATATTTGAAATAAAGCACTTCATATATTTCATTTAAAAACCATTACCTGCAAACAATCATCTGTTGCCTGTCTTGAGTAGGAGCCAATCTGTCAAAGTCCTCCCGATGTAGGCGCCGTACTTGTGGCTGTTGTTCGTGGGAAAGTGGAATGTATCTTTTTTAGTAAGCTTGCATGTATATAGGTAACTTAACAATATAACAATAATAGATCGATGTCATTTGACAATAGATATTAATACAAATAAATGTAATACATATACATAATACATTTTATATTATTGATGATGTTTAAAATGTTAACATTTATTAAGTGCTATTGATTCATAGTAAAATACCTAGGAAATCAAAGTTCTAAATTAATACATAGCACACGCTGGCACCTACGAATGTCGTGTGTAATAGTCGTTTAAATGTCATAATATCATTTACTCTTTACAATATACAGAAGTGTCGTAAAGGATAACTGAGATCTTTTAAAGAGTTATGATTGTTTTTCTAAGAACACCTTAAACTTTTCTATTCCGAACCACTAAACTGTAACATGGGTTAACTTATAACCTTAAAAAAAGAAACAAACGAATATGCGACCAGTTTTTTCACCTGACAACATCCAAGGATAGTTTTTATGAACGCCGTTATGAAAATTAAATTATAGGTTATAATTTTAATATGATAGGTGTATAATAAATTCTTGTTTTGAGATTCTATCTGTGTGCGGCATTAATTCTTTTCTGATGCTTTCAAATGTAAATAGTATAAAATTTTTTGGTTTACTTGGTATCGGGGTATGTGTTTAGCAATACATATATGCTTCGGTGTAGGACATAAAGTAAAATTGATGGTAATTATGTTTTTATTGTCTACCTAAAAGAAAACGATATAGTATTTATACAAATCATTGTTCCTGTTGTAGATGTGCATTTCCTCCACAACACAGGGGAAAGTTCTAGTGTCCTTGTGACCGTAGTGAATCCTAGTGTGAATAAAAACTGGTGGTTTTAATGACTAGCTTTTTATTAAAGGATTACATTATATAAAATATTTATCATGTCATATCATATTATCATCAACTAATCAGCGTAATAAATACACAATAGTAGCTCTATGTCACTTGCCATTTATACTATAGATGTTAATAGCAAAGACTTACTATTGCTATCCATATAGATCATAACCAAAAAGATCGCATCTACAAAGAAATCTGCGACGATCAGACTGCAGGCGCCCCGCCAATAGAAACTATTAACGACATGTTAGTTTTTACCATCATGAAAAAAATGCGGCTGCGACAAAAGGCGATCGTTGTCCAAGATCAAGATAAACGGACCATAAATAACACTTATTTTTTTGTTTCTGTTATCATAATTATAGGTGGCTATATTTATACAACGAATTATTTAAATTAAATAGGTATAATTTTGTTTTGGGGACCCAAGAAATATTTTATTAATGGAAATAAGATTTTCTGGTTAAATCAGACTGATAGATTTCAGTTTCATGAACTATACGAATGTACTTACTCTAAGTATGTTTAAACTCTTTTTGCCCGTGTTGCGTGTTCTTAGTATAAGCACAGAATAATGGTATAAGTTAAACATGGCAATAGCTTGGTTTTTGCATCACTTAAAATGTATACGGCGTCCTCTTTCTTTGTTAGTCTGAGTTTAAACATGTAATTACAATTTTATAGTTAGCTTTATGTACCTACATAAAATTGTCACAATTATTATGTACATGAAGCCGACTATAATATTGTACATTCTGTTACTGTGATTCACAGGCACCTTCAAAAGTGCCTACACCTTTTTAAAAGCCGACAAACGTTCTGCAATTCTCCAATTCCTCTAGTGTTGCAGTTGTTCATTGGCGGTGGTATTAACTGGACGTCGTTATACAAAAACGTTCCAACCCACAAGTCATTCAAAAATGAGTTAAATAAGTAGATCTGTATATTTAACTCATTTTTGATTGTCACTCCCATGACTGACTTGATATTGGCAGAATTCTTTTAAGAGAAGTCAAAAAGTAAAGAAGAAGAAGAAGAACTCATTTTTAAATGACTTGTGGGTTGGAACCTTTTTGTATAACTACATCCAACTTACCTTTAGATGACCCGTTTTGTCCTCTTTACTTTAAAAAACATCCGCCTGCAAAACGTGTTCGTTATGACAAGCGAGTAGGCCTCTCCCCAGCAATGGACTATTACGGGCTGAAGAAGGTGAAGAAAAATCAGGAGAGTCAGAAATCCGGGCATTGTAAAACTAACAACCAGACTCAAAACTTTATCCGTATCGTACCATATCGTACCGTACCGTACCGTATCGTAAATAATATTATAATTTGTGGGCAACGAACGTAAGTTTATTCGTATTGATTTTATAATTCCAACACAAAGGCATTCATGAATACAATAATATCACTGATATTTAAAACATATTATATCTCTAATATAATATATCAAAAATAAAATTTCGTTAGTTCAGGCATCAGGCATCTAAGTATTGCTTTTTAGGGACGACACTAGTTTTTAAGTTGTACTCGTGTCATATCATAGCCGTTCTAAGTCACAGTTCTTTTCAATAGAGCACCAACAACTATTTATCCAGATACTCGTATTACACATAAAGAAAAAAAGAGTAATTTTTGCCTTTTTTATTTATAGAAGAGGGGCCAAACGAGCATGCGGCTCACCTGATTGTTTCGACCGTCACCGATGAAAAACTGCAATATCAGGAAAATTGCAGGTGCGTTGCCGTCTTTTTGTCTTTCTCGCTCTCTCTTTCTCTGTCTGTCTATATTTATAAAGTTAAATAATCTAGTGAGATAGGATGGAATGCCTAAGTGAAGGTAGTATCTCTATTACCAATTTTAAACATTACGTTGTTTTGAGATTTTGTTAAGCACGTTGGTCCAGTAGTCGTAAACGTGACTGCAGATCATATGGTCCCAGCTCGGTACCTGATCCCTCTTGTGTCGGTTTGCCGTCACATCGGACTATGAGAGTGAAGGAAATGAGAGTGCATCTGAGCTTGCGCAAGTGGCTTCTGTTATGATTTATATATAGTTTTTATTATTATTTAAAAAATCAGAGATTATTATTATTATAGAAAATCTGTGACTCATTGGGCTTCATAGTGAAAGGCCAATCGAAATCTATTAAAACTTACGTGTTGACTTAAATGATATCGAAAGTCATAAAAAATCATTGTACGAACATTTTCTCGCGTTAAATTCATGCTGATGTGACACAGAAAATTTTCAATTTGCCGCCAAATCGTAAGGAAATGACAAATTAATAAAATACATACATAATAATATTGCCAAAGAGTTCCATTTTCAAAATTTGTACTTATTTTTTTATTATATCGTTTACAAGTGGCCAGTTCTAAAAACTTTCAGTGTCGACCTCGTATTAATCTTTTGAAATTAAATTTTTCATAGAAACAAGGCAAAATATTTTTCATAATTTATGTAAAACATCGCTTATTTAAAAACAGTTTTGCTCAAGTTTTACTGTTTTTCTTTTGAATTACTGTATAAGAGTTTCTCTTCGTTTTGGCAGGCTTACGGTAGTACTTACCGCGGCGTTGCTTTATTAAATCTACCAAGTAATTCATTACAGGCCTCATGTAAATTAAGTTTCAACACGGTTTGGGCCTTCTTAAATTTCATTCAAAAACTTGAGAATTTATCGTGCAAGTTCCTCGGCATTTATGATGTTCATATTAAAAAGTTATTTACGTAAGACATTTATTTATTATTTTAATATTAACTTAATTTATTTGACGAAATATTAAAAAGTCCCATATGCAGTTTTCCTCAGTGATGTTTTACTTCGCCTGCATGCGATTAAAAAAGATATTAAAATTAGCACATATAAAAAAGATATTAAAATCATTTGTATTCGCTTGGATTGATTTCGTGTTCTTTGTCTATTAAGAAAATTGCCCTAGCTCCTGAGACTCCACAGGTCTTTTGTGCCTGTCATCGCTTATTAAGTGATAATTTTTAGGGGAACAAGCGAAAATACTATTCATCAAGTAATAAGTAATAATCAAATTAATGTATTTTTTATGAGTACAGACCGTGTGCCGTCCAGTGGCAGCGTAAGATAATCCAAGACAATGCAATCCTATCCCAAGTCATGCCATGGATGGTGCGTGCGTTATAAGTTGCCAGGTCGAGTCGTCGTAGGTGGCAACCGAACCTCCACCGGAGATTATTAGCACCCCATGCCCCGCCGTTACCGTGGTCACCACCGTAGCCAGGAATAGCGGGGCCACCGGGGACTGGGGGCCGTCTCTTCGTAACTTTCATCATGGGAGGTATATTGCCATAGTTGGCACGCTTGGCGAGCGGGTTGGCAACTGCTCGATTATAAAATCGCTCGCAGAGTATGTGCTGTTGTAATGTTATTATCAATAATTATATTTTGCTATGCTAACTCTTTAGCATAGCATAACATAATTTTTGATACTATGGTAGGAAATATAGTGGTAAAGTCATGCTGCAGCTATATTAATAGAATAAATGTAGCACAAAGGGGTCGGCTCGACCGGTGTAGGACCATGCTCTCACAGAATTCCAGCGTAAAATAGCAGCTTAAAGCTGCTGTGTTTCGTATGGTGAGTGCAGAGAACCGGAGACCCTTTTTACTCGAAACGAGGCATTCCATCTTAGTCCTTAAGGGTGACGACGCATCTGCATCTTGCTTTTCTCAATTGAGGATAAATGTAAATGTATCTTACCGTCAGGTGGGCTGTGTGCTCGTTTGTCACCCAATTCTATAAAAAAAAAACGTTTAAAATTTACGGTGCAACTAACCAGTGAATTCAATTCGAATAACAGAGTCTGTACTCTTTTTTTTTGTGTGGCGTAGTGGCGAAGCTTACATTTACTTGTTTTGGATTTAGGTGTTAGTCCGCGTGCAATTAATGTATATAAAACTCTAAAATTACTTGTGATGAACGATTTATTTATAAAAATAAATTGAAAATGAAAAGGTAATAAAAGCTAGGACTTTAAACATAAGCTAGAACAGGATATGGCAAGTTCAATATAACATAACGATAAGTCGTGCTACCTACTTTTTTATTATCCATCACGTATCGACAAATAGCGAAACTAAGCAGGTCTATAAAACTTATACACGTCCAGCAAATTCCATACGAGCAATTGTTATGTAATATATGTATATATATATATATATTAACATGTGCATATAACTGTGAATATATAACCTATATATAATATATATGTGTGTATGGTTTTTAATAATGGTTCTAACGATTTAGATGAATTTTTTTAGTTTACCTAGATTTGTGTTACCCCTGAGAATATTATATTTTTTTTCTATATTCAAGCAAAGTTGGGTCGCCCAGAAACTGTCATATACTCGTAACATGATGAGTTTAATAAAATGTTTACCATCGTTTGACCCATAACATAAGTGGCCTATCTCTTTAAACAGTTTAATATCTACGTGGTAGAGCCATGCTGCAGCTATATTATGGTTGTAGCGCGAATGGGTCGGCTCGACCTGGGAAGGACCACGCTCTCACAGAATACCAGCGTAAAATAGCAGCTTAACGCTGCTGTGTTTCGTATAGTGAGTGTAGAGAACCGGGGACCCTTTTTACTGGCAAAGAGGCATTCCATCTTAGTCCTAACGGGTGACAACGCATCTGCATCTTGAGTCTTTATTGAGGATAGATGTAGATGTCTATGGGCCACAGCAACCACTTACCATCAGGTGGACTGTGTGCTCGTTTGTCACCCTATCCCATAAAAAAAAAGTGGCCTATCTCTTTAAACAGTTTAATATCTTAGGAACAACTGTTCCGAATAAATTAGAATTATATAAATCTTCCATAATGGCGTAGTATATTTTGATAAAACAATAATACAGATTCGTCAAGCTAAAATTCTTCCATTAATATGACTACATTGTAAGGCTTTGTAGAGTAAGACGTTTTCCTTGCTCAGGGAGAAGCAGGGCGGATAGGGCGGTTGCGTGGTTGCTTAGCGACGCGCCGCGGGTGGGCGTGGCAATCGATACCACCCTCAGCTCACCCGGTCACCTTCGCCTAGGGTTGCACAATAGTTACATCTAAATTGATTCAACGTGATGACAAAAAAATAAACATGCGTGTTTACTAAAGTATAATTAATTGAAACAAAACTAAACTGACTCTTACGTTAAGCCAAAGTTACATTTAGGGTAAGCAATTTAAGGAGTGATAATGCAATCGTACTGAGCCACATGGTTTCATCATTTGTAACTCATGAAGATCAACTTCAAATAAATTCTCAATAGCCGAGTATGATTGCGTGTTGTTACGATGTGGGTAGGGCTTAAACCTATACTTTATACTAAGTATACCGTGAGTTGCAGAAATACTTGGAAGGCGATTTTAGCAACGACAGAAAAATGTAGATTAATAAAGTGTTTACTGTTGACAGAAAAATGCTGTAGGAATATATGACATATTTATCATTTCAAAAGTGTTAAAACTTAAATATCCAAAGTGATGACCTAAAGTGGTGTATATTGAGTTCGGCCTCACATGGAATACTGTTCTCATCTCTGGGCCGGGGCACGCCAGTGCCAGCTCCTTCCACTTGACCGCATCCAGCACAGAGCGGTTTAAATCGTCGACGACCGAGTTCTTTCTGATCGGCTCGATACACTGGCGCTGCGTAAGGATGTTGCATTCCTTTGCATTTTCTATTGAATCTACCACGGGGAGTGCTCTGAGGAATTGTTCAGGTTGGTTCCAGCCGCCAAATTTCACGAACGCACATCGCGTCAAAATTCACGATACCATCCTCACCATCTGGATACTTGGCGGTCCATGACTGTGCGTTTTACTAGGAGTTTTCTTCCTCGTCCAACTTCTCTGTGGAATTGTTTACCACCGGCGATTTTTCCGGACCGATACGACTTAGGGACCTTCAAGAAAGGAGGTTACACCTTTCTTAAAGGCCGGCAACGCATCTGCAATTCCCCTGTTATTGCGGTTGTTCGTGGGCGGCGGTAATCACTTACCATCAGGTGAGCCGCATGCTCGTTTACCTCCTCTTCTATAAAAAAAATGTTAAATGTTTAATGTTATGTATATATTATATCCTCACAGTTCTAGCAATATGTTATAAGATTTTGGAACGAAGTTCCTTATAGGACGGTACGGGTTTGGCGAATGGGAGCTAAGCGACAAAAAGTGTAAGATTTTTTCGTCACTACCCCTTGTGTCATAGTGTATTTTTTTTAATGACGCTTCATTTTAATAGACGCTAATAATTAATTAATTTATATTTGTTAATCAATAATATAATAGATGCGTATATCAATAATAATATACTATGAAAGGAACTTCGTTCCAACCGAGTGTTCCACGACACTCACGCGTGTTTTTTTATATAAAGTAGGTATAACCTGTAATTGGCAGTAGAAAATGTAAATAAGTTAAAGATAAGCTTTATAATGTTACAAAATGTTATTGTTTTTGCTGACATAAAACAATAGTACGAGTATTTGTCTAAAATTATGTTAGTAGAAATTGGTAATATTCTAAATCGCAACCCTGAGCGTAAAACATTTTTGACATCCCTTTTCCTTTCAGCCTCGCAATATTCTTAAATATATACAGAATAAATATAAATTATTGTAAACTAAACCACGAAATATATCTATTCTTCACTCTGTTCCTCTCTTAATTCAATGCTGGTTAAGCCTTTCAAGAATTTGACTACCTGGACTGCATATCTTGAAAGATTTTCCCAATACAGTAATGTCCAATGTCCAGGTTGAGTAGGTGATGGATACGTGGAAAGAAAAACCCTTTTAAGCTCTTTGGGGTGAAAAATATGCACACTGTACACCTGATGGTAAGAGGATGTTGTGGCCTGGAAGATGAAGTCTGTATCATCGCGTGCTATGAGTTACCATTGCAGGTAATATATTAGGCACATGAAATAATGTGGTAAATCCACTATAGGTAAACCGTATTTTTATCAGTACTAAACTAAAAATTTACTGTCACTGGAATTTCTATAGCTGTTTTATTGAAGTAACTCTAAATCTCACAATCACCTACTTAACTAATTTTAATGAAAAAAAAAAAATCTTTAAAATAATCTTCAAAAATTCTTCTTATTAGTTCTTGTTTTTGAGTTATGTGTAGTAAGACAAAATTCTAGTTGTTTATGGTGTATAGGCCTCTTTTCTGTATAGAAGATTTTCTAGGTGGGTGGGTTTCTTCTAGGATTTTCTAGTGGTTCATCCTTACGTATTATGGGGCCAATCAAATATGCAATATCAAGTATTCGTATAAATATAAACAAATATTGTACTTAAAACTTTTTTATAAAATTGTAGTGACAGTTGGTCACGGGCTTATATATGTAGCCATTTACTTTCAGTTAAATCATTCACCGCTACTGTTACAGTACTGATAAGGGAATACATTTTTCGTACTAAAGAACAATGAATTTAATCACTCTGAGGCGAATTAATGCCGTGTGGTGGCGGTAAGATAATCACAACATTAAATCCCGTAGGTGTCATAAGAGATCGACAACTATGAATGCGTCCGCAGGTTACTTGTTGTCTATGTGCGATATTTACTAAGTAGGGCCTGTCTGTACTGTCTTGAAACTATTAGTTACCACAGAGAGCGCATAAAATGTAATTAAAAACTCCATGCGCTAAGAAGAAGAAAGTTTTTTTATACAAAATATTTTGTTTGCACAAAACGAGCACAAGTCAGTGTACACGTTCTGTAAAAATCCTAATTAAAACGATTAACGTTTGAACTTTGCAAACAGTTCGTCAAGTTTTTAATATCGCTGTCAAAAAGAAATTGCATTTTCCTTCTCGTTTTTGTGCGGGGGAGTGTCGAGGACAGGTTCCGTCGATACACTTGTACCTACTATTAGTGCACAAAGGTCGGCTGTCGCGCGCACACACGCGGGGAGGGCGCGAATTATGAGCTGTCGTGAACAGAGTATGCTACATGACTACCTGAGACTAATTTCGATGTTTCCCTCATCTGCTACGGGACGGGGAAATTAATACAATTTTAATAAAAGGTTTCATTCCCATTGTTATATCTTTATCGTACTGCTTTTATAAATAGAAACCTTACAAGCAACTTACTCTCCAGCACCTTAAAAACGGCAAGGCCCCAGGCGAGGATGGAATTACAGCGGAGCTTCTGAAAGCGGGTGGAAGACCGGTACTTGAAGTCCTTCAGAAGCTCTTTAATTCCGTCCTCCATGGTGGCATTACACCGGAGGCGTGGAGCAGAAGTGCGGTG